ACTTCTACTACTACTACTACAAATACTACTACTACCACTGCCACATAGTCTACGTAACTTACTTAAGGAGTTTGGGCCAGAATGTCGTTGGCGTCGTCTCGTAGATTTCCTCCAATATAGTTCCTTGTGTTTTTAGGTTTACGGTCGTTTTTATGTTCCTGTGATATTCTCTTCCTTGTTCTCCTGTCTACTGGCGGCGTCTGAACGGCCATAAAAATAAATTTTCAACGGCAATTAAAGTTGTTTGTTTTTCGCTTTCGTTGAATCCTACTCATACTGCTCTTTCGCGCAACCTCAGGATACCTTTATGTCGTCTAGGAGGTTACGCATTTCCTACAAAAAACATGATTCAGTCTTTTCTGGAATAAAGCACCCACAATGAGCGAGAAACTACGCTTTACTTTGAATGTAGTATCCAGTATTTTCAGCAAAAACATAGCTCCATTCACTCAGAACGAGGGAATGTATAAGGTAAAAGCTCATAGAATACTCAAAGTTTAAAAGTTCACACGATATTCATATCTGTTATGGAGATGAATCAGCCTTAAACTTCTCAATTTCCGTTTCTTCACACGCGAGGTAGCGTGCTATGAATGGGAGTATAGAACACTGATATGCCGATCTACGGCAAGACGTATGACGGAAGCTTTGGCGCATAGTACGGGAAGACTTCGTAGCCATTAGTTCAGAGTGGAGAGGATGAGCAATCAGCAAATTGCCTGACTGTTCTAAAGTGTCGCTCTGTTATAATATCAACTTAAAAGGCAAAAGAAACACCGGCAGCCGAAGAGAGCATTTTGAGGATATGTTTAAAAATGGCCAGGCCTTTTTTAAGTAAAGCTGAAAAAGTAACTGGAGAGCAGTAAAGAATGCAGAGGGAGAACGCAGACATCTATAAATCGCCAGACTAGGGCTTGCGGTTTGTGATCTGAACCCAAACGGCCGATTTAATATAAAAGTTTACGGATTTTAATAAAAAAGACCTTCAATATGAAGAGTAAATGAGAGGTTAGATACCAGAGTAACACGAGGATACCTCGTTGGGCAGAATGTCAGCGGATTCCGGACTGGGCGAGGGTCGCAATCGAAAATAACGCTGGACCGACTTCTGGTCGTTACGTGG